AGAGATAGAAGGAATATAACGCTTATTTGAATAATGTGATTTCATTTATTTTTTATTATTCAGGCAGGCAAAAAACACCTTGAAGATTAAAGCAACAGATTTAACGAGCATCTTCCCTTGAAGCGTCGAACGAAATTGTCATCTTTCTTTTCTGTATTTGATGTAGTGTTTTGTCCACTCTTATCGCCAAAAAAAAAAAAAATAAAGTTATGTGATAATGTTACTTGTTTAATAATACCTCCCTCCTTTCATAACATTGATTTGAAATGAATCTTAACCAATAGTAAAATATGTGTAGTTTAAGGAATACATTATCGTAAAATTTACATTCGAAACGTGTCACTACCAGTCATCTTGAAGTCGTAAATAACAATACATTTAAATAAAGCAAAGAACTATATTGGGCAGCCTGTGATGTTGAGAACTCCGACATTACTAGTCTCAATCATCACTCATCATACAGCATCCAGTTTCACATACAGTTCTTTATTTTTGCTTTCATCTAAAGTCATGCCTTAAAAGAGATATTCTATTTTGCATAAGTAGTGCATTATGGGAAATAATAACGTGAGAAAGTGAATAAATTAGTTTTAAGGGCAGGTAAACATTGGAATTGGGATAACGTAACCCGTACAGTGTTCATTTGTCAGTGAGTGAGCTGTCGATCCATTCCGGAAAGAAATTTATTTAGTTTTCGAACCGAAACTTTAGGTCTGTCAGTTAAAAATTTGCTCGTATATAAACTATATAGTTTTGGCCAAAAATTCGTTGTTATACGAACTTACAAAGCTAGAAATCCGCAGATTGACTATTGTGTAGCTTTGTGCTACCAAACAAACAAAATTGATAAAGCTGCTGAACCACAGAGGTTGGGTAAAGTTAATTAAGGAGAAAAAAATATAAGTTGACCATATAAGGTGGATTATTCCCAGAGAAGCCCAAAAAGGACTATTAAAACCAAAGTAATTAGTCTAATTACTCGTAAGTCCAGAAAGGACTGGCACCCTTGTTTGATACAGCCTGAAATCCACTGAGAAGTAAAAAAAAAACAAATAAAATCAGATAAGGTAAAGCTTTCAATCGACTAAAAAAATCCCAGAAAAGACTGGAAACCTAAGAACTCGTAAGACGAATGTTCTATTCTTAGATAGGTAAAATGAGTGCCACAACTTGATGTAATAAGATATCTTGTTAAAGGATATCGATATTATACTACAAGGTCAGCCCCCACCTCCCCCCACAAACTGGACATGCTCTTTGTAATGTTAAAACTTATAGTTAATTGTCGAGAAGGGCCAGTGTTGCTAATGGTGAATTCAATTAATTGGCAGAGAGAAGTAGTTGGTTGATTTACCAAAATAAAAATGTTATACTTTTTTTTTCTGTGAATGAAAGACATTGTAGATACGGTTAAAGTGTCAAAGGTTTTTAACCCTGTATATTAGTAGTTGTTTTAGTTCGATTTCATAATTCAAATCTCGAAGTTATTGAACACAAACGTGGCTGTGAATGGGTGTTTGACCATCTCCTCAGAATGAAGCAACCACGAATTTCTCAAACAATGAATAACGGTCTAGTGCAATTAAATTTCTCTCTTAGATTATTTGAAACTATGCGATTGCGAAAGAAATTCTGCGTTTGTTATATTAGTATACGTTCTTAATTGAATAGGAAATTTGTGAGTTTACCGTTGAACGAACAGACTTGTAATCAAACTTTACTTCACGTGTAATGTGTCAGTTTGTTTAGACAAGTCGCGTTCCACTTTTAAAGTGTATGACGTTTCCAAAGGATCTCACTGAGTTATTGTATGTTTTTGTCTAGGATTAAGTAGTGTTCATTCATCTTATTCTTCGTTCTGTTAGATAACCTTCTAAATAAATTGTTCGTATGTAGTTAAAGCTTCAATTCAACTACCCCGCCTGGCCTTTGTTAAAATACCACTGATAATGACTGCGTCCGAATGTTGGCTTTGCGGTAATCCTATCTTGCAAGTCGTATAGTTATTATTATTATTGTTGTTGTTTTCTGGCAAGTTAAATACTATTTCATTTAGCATGATAAATACCATTTCTAGTTTATTAAAGCATTTTGTATTTGTTTGTTTCAGAATTTCGCGGAAAGCTACAAAAGAGCTATCTGCATATAGCTAGTCCTCATTTTGAACTGGTAGACTATTGAGGGAAGACAATTAGGCAACAGCACGCAACGCTAATTCTTAGGAGGCTACTCTTGTCTGACCGAATAGTGGGATTTTGTTTGACACTCTTAACACTCAACACTTACACCTAACAACAAAGTACAGAGCGAGGTAATTTTTTTTTTGCGATAACGGGTTTACCAACCACGGATCCTCAGATTTACAGTTCGGACACACCATCCATTAATTCATGCCGGTTTTTTTAAAGTTAACTTGCAGTTGTTCGCATTTGTGCCCGAATCATCTTTAATACTAATTAGAATTACAGCACAAAT